GCGCCTCCCGGGGACCCTCGGCGCCGCGCCGCCGCCTCTCCGCCGCCATCTCGGAGACGTCATCGCCCCGCGACCCGCCGGGAAGGACGGAGAGCCGCCGGGCCGCGGCGCCCCCCTGCGGAGCCGCCTGCGGGAGGACTGAGCGCGGACGCGGAGCGGGGCTCCCGGCAGAGCTTTATTGTGCCCGGTGCGGCCCGGCGCTGCGGGGCTCGGCGCGGCGCTCACTGCTTCACGCGGCCCCCGTCGCCCTCGCTGACGAAACGCTTCCGGCCCCTGTGAGGGGGGTGATGGCAGATCCCCGCGTCCCGTACCCGGCGGCCCCCCGGTGCCCCCCTGTCCCATACGACCGTGCGGGTCTCGTGCGGTGCCCCGCTCCGTGTCCCAAAGCTGGCGGGACCCCGCGGCCGCCCCGCCCCCCTCCTGTACCCGGCAGGGTCCCACGTCTCCACGTCCCCGTATCCCAAACCTGGCGGTGCCCCGGTTTCCCCCCCCGCCCCCCCGTGTCCCCCCGTCCCCGTCCCATACCTGGCAGGACAGGCATCGCGCAGTGCCCGTGTCACCACGCCGCGCTGACAGCACAGCTCCAGCAGTCGCTCCAGGCGCGCGTTGGCCAGCGGTGCATCCAGGCTGAGGTCAGCCAGCGCCGCATAGACCCGCTGGAAGCCCTGCAGCCACATCGGTGTCATTGGTGTCGGTGCCGGTGCTGCCCCGCGCCCCCATCCCGTGCTCACCCGGTTCATCTGGTCCAGCGTCACCAACCCGGTCTCCCACAGCACCTGCAGCAGCGTCACCATCGTGGTCACCGGCGCATCCCCGGAGCCCTCCAGCACCATCACCACCGCCTGCAGGGGTCACGCATCAGCGGGGCCGCGGGGCTCCGCAGCGCCGCCCGGCACAGCGCTCACCTCGTACACCAACTCGTGGTGGAAGTGCGGCACCTCCAGCGCCCGCAGGCAGCGCTCAGCCTCTGACACCTCTCCGGACAGCAGGTACTCACGCAGTAACAGGTTCATCTGTGGGACGTGGTGCAGGCACCGGACACGGCACGGTGACACAGGGACGTGGAACAAGGACGTGGCGTGGGGATGTGGCACAGGGACACGGGGATGCAGCACGGGGATGTTGTGCAGGGCGAGGGGATGTGGCATGGGGACGTGGGGTGCAGCAGGGAGGCGTAGCGGGGGATGCTGCACAAGGATGTGGCACAGGCGTATGGCATGGGGATCTGGTGTGGGGATCTGGTATGGCATGGGGATCTGGTGTGGGGATGCGGTGTGGGACACGCATGGGAATGTGGCACAGGGACACGGTGTGGACGCGGGGATGGCACTGTGGGGTTGGTGGCACTGTGAGCGGATGAACACAGGGATGGGAGCGGGGACAGCACACGGGCACAGCCAGGGACAAGGAGCACGGCAGGGGACACGCAGGGCGCATCCGGACACAAGGGGGGGCTGAGGGGATGGGGCACAGCGGCGGCCACAGGGATGCACGAAGGGACAAGGCAGCAGCACGGCACAGCAGCAGGCACTGGGAGGTGCTCTGGTTCCCGCTGACCTCCTTCACCAGGTGCTTGACGGGGCGCTGCCCACCCCCCACACCCCACACGTTGTCCAGCCGGTTGACGTCACGCTTGATGCGGAGCAGGACGGCGGCGCGGTCCAGAGCGGCCCTGTGGAGCAGCAAGTGAGTGCAGGGCAATGGGGCGGGCAGCGGGGTGAGGGCAGAGAGCGAGAGCAGTGGGGTGAGGGCAGTGGGGTGAGGGCAGCACTCACCTGGCGTGCTCGCAGTCCACGCGGCCTCTGTAGCGCTCCAGGAAGCCCAGGGGCAGCGCATGGTCGGCCACCGCGCGGGCAATGAACTGCCCCAGCATCTGTGGGGGGCACAGGGTCAGCACGAGGACCCCCAGCCCGCTCTCCGCCGTGGCCCCGTCCCCAACCGCACGTCCCTGCCGGCACCTGAGGGGCCTCTGGGGTGTCGAGGATGAGGTCGGGGAGGTCCCGCAGCATCTTGTCGAAGGCCCAGGCGACGTCCTCGGGGCTCAGCACGCGACCCACCAGGTCAGACAGCAGCCTTGATGTCAGCTCCCTGTGGCTGGCTTTGCCCTCCAGTGCCAGTGCCACCGCCAGCGAGGGCACCGCGTGCCGCCGGCCACCCAGGTTCAGCCCCCGCAGCAGCTCCTGCACCCAGCACCGCAGCACCAGTGGGTGCTCACACCCTGCCCCGTGCTGCAGCCTGGTCCCAAATCCCCTCCGGCACTACGGTGCCCCCCATCCCCTCCTCAAGAGACTTTGCTCCTTCCTGAGGGCTCCCACCAGCCCTGGACCCCCTCCCCGCTGCAAGGCTCTGCTACACGGACCCTCCTTCCCCCCAAGGGTCCCCTCGCCCCCGACGCACCACGACCTCGCTGGTGTCCCCGTGCTCAAAGTACTCCAGCACCATGGGCTGCACGTTCTGCTCCAGCTCGTCCTCCTCCAGCTCGGGCACCACGGTGGCATAGACCGTGTCCCCCTGCGGGGTCGGACGGGAGGCTCCGGAGAGGCGCCCGCAGTGATGGCTGCGGGGTAGGGGGGGAGGTGGGGGGCAGGGCCGTACCTGCGCCACTTCATCGTAGTTGGGGTCGCGGACGTCGGGCTCCTGGTAGCCGTACACCACGCCGGGGGCCCCCCACACGCCTTTACCCCCCGCGCCGCCTGCAGCGGGCACAGCAGGGGCTCAGCGGGGGGGGGGGGGCACGGCGCGCACCTCGCGGGGGCTGCGGGGCCGCCCCGCGCTCACCTTTCTTGGGCAGCCCGCGGCCCTTCCCGCCGCGCGATCTGCGGTCGTGCGCTCTGCCCTTGGGGCTGCCGGGTTCGGCGCCCGGCTCCTCGGCCGGCGGCTCCCGGGCAGAGTCCCGGGACGAGGTGCGCCGCAGCCGCCGCTTGGCCTTGGCCCTGAGCCTCGCTTCGTGCAGGAGTTTCTCCGGGGGAGCCCAGAGCCGCGCCCCCCCGGCGCCGTCCTCCCCCTCTTCTTCTTCCCCCTCCTCTTCCTCCTCCTGCTGCTGCTGCTGCTCCGCGCTCGGGCCCTGCGTGCACGGACGGCCCGTCACCGCGCGCCCCGACGGGACCCCCGCGACCCCCTCCCACCCACCGCCCCCGGCGGGGAACCCCCGGCACCGCTCCGGGGCTCCGCTCCCGATACTTGCCGAGGCGAACGGGGCGCGGGCGGTAACGCCCGGTTCGGCCGTGCTGGCGGCGGACATCCCGGCGGCACCGGGACCGGGAGCGGAGGGAGGGGAAGGGGCGCGCCGCTCGGCCGGACCCCGCCCCGCCGCGCGGAGGAAGTGACCGGGAGGAGGCGGCGGCATCATGGGAGCCGTAGTCCCACCGGCACCGGCGGCACCGCGCGGAATAAGCGGGTCACGGGGCGGGCGGGGGTCCCGATGGCCCCCGTGCACGCGCGGACACCGCGGGAGTGAATCTCAGATTCAGACCCCGACTCCGCGGATGCTCGGGGCCGGGACCCCTGGACATGACCGCGGGGAGCCGGACACGGAGCGGTCCGGACGGAGCTCGAAGGCGGCGGGGAAGGAGCCCCGCCCGGTGTCCCCGCGGGGGCACCCACGAAGGACAGCGGCAGCGCCGATGGCAGACGGTGACGGTGCGGGGCGGAGCGCGACGTGTCGGAATGCTCGCGGCCACGGTGCGGGCCCGACCCCCCGCGTGAGACCCCAGGGACCGGGACAGAAGCCGGAGCTCAGCGCCGCGTCGCTTTATTTCGGCCGCGCTCAGCCCTCGGGGCTCTTGGCCATGCACGGCAGGCCGGGGACGCGCCAGCGCCGCGCTCCGTGCAGCCGCAGCGCCAACCACTGCTGCTGCCCGCCAGACAGGTAGGACTCGGGGGGGGCCGCCGCGGGGCCGGCCGGGGGGCTCCGAGCCGGGAAGGGGCGGGGGGGGGGCCCGCTGAAGGCCCCGCCGCCTCCAGGGTCTCCAGGCTGTGCAGGCTGCTGGCGCCCAGCTCTTGTGTGCGGGCACCGTGGTTGGAGCCTGGGGGCGAGAGGAGACGGAGTCGGGGGAGGGAGCGCGGCGGAAGCCGTGGGGGCTCCCGGCTTCGTCTCCATCTCTTTCCCAATCCTCATTCCCATCCCCATCGCCACCCCCGTCCCATTTCTGTCCCCGTCCCCCCCCAACCCGATCCCCATCCCACCTCCATTCCATCCCCGTCCCATTCACTCCCCCTCCTCACAGCACTGCCGCAGGGAGGGCCAGCCATGGGGCGGCAGATACGCCTTGCCGCTGGGCTGCTGCAGGAGGCAGAGGATGGCACCGTCCATCTGCTGGAGGACGCGCAGGGAGAGCAGCGCCTGCCTCGTGTCGGGCTCCAGCCCGTACTGCTCGCACTGCACCAGCTGCCGCACCAGCGCGAAGTCCTGCTGCAGCTGCAGAGCGCCCTGCAGGCTGCGGGCGGCGCTTCAGCACCGACCCGGCGCCCCCCCCGGCTCTCCCCCCTCCCTACCGACTCCCCCCGGACCTGAACTTGATCTTCTGCGCTAGGATGTGATCCATCCACGCCTCCACGAAGGCTGTCATCACCCGCGCCAACGTGGGCACCTGGGAGTCGCGGGGCAGCAGCTGCGCGCCCTGCAGCACTTGGCCCAGCACCGTCTGAGCCGCCGCCGCCGCGTAGTCGCTGGGGGAGCTGGGCAGCTCTGCGGAGAGACGGCGTCAGCCCCGCGGTCCCGTCCGGGCCGGGGGGGAAAAGAGGATGGGGGGCCGCCACCCACCGGCTCGGAGGCCGAGCCTCCAGTGCCTGCCCAGCGGCATGGTCTGGTCGAAGATCTCCGCCGACATCCGCTTGCAGTCCGTCGAGAAGAGCTTCAACACGTCCCCCGCGAACAGCTGCGAGCGGAGAGGAGCCGATGGGGGGCGCCTCCGAGCGGCCAAAGCGCTGCCTGCCGCTGCGCTGCCGGCTGCGGGCCCCCGGAGCCCCGGCGGCGGCCGTACCTGGATGCTGGCGGCCGCGGAGCGGATCTGCAGGCGCAGCCACCGCTCGTGTTGGGAGCGCAGGCGCCGGTGGGGCGCGAGGTGCTGCGGGCCGTCCTCAGGCTCCGGGAAAGTCGCGTTCACCAGCAGCTCCAGCGCGTCCGTCTCGGCCTTCAGCAGCTGCGGAGCGCACAGCCGTGACCTCAAACCGCCTCCGGGGCCGCGGCGCAGCCCCGCACCGCGCCGAGCCCCGCGCCCACCTGCAGGTCTCCCTGAGTGACGAGCAGGAACTGCTGCAGGGACCACGCCGCCAGGTACTGGAAGGCTTTGCCCATCAGCCAGGAGCGCGAGGCCTGAGCCGTAGCCAGGCAGCAGCCCAGCAGCTGCAGGCGCAGGCAGGGCGAGCCGAGGGGGCTGCCTGGAGGCGGAGCGGGGGGGCAGCGTCACGCAAGAGCCAACGCGGATCGCCCCCGTCCCCGCGATGCACCGCTCACCCTCCGGGTCGTCCGGCAGGTTCCGCAGGGCGGAGCTCAGGGCCGGGTAGAGCCGCTGAAGGAGCCGCGCCGTACCGCTGTGCGCCGCGCCCTCCGAGCGCTCCGGCACCGCGCAGCGATCGCTCAGCCCCGAACCCAGCGCCAGGGCGAAGTCTGCGGGGAGACGCGATGCGAGCGGTGCCGGCAGCCGTGAAGGGGACCCCCCGCCCCACTTCCACCCCCACGCGTACCTCGGTGCCAGTCGAGCAGGGCAGCCCGGCACTGCAGCCGCCGGCACAGCCGCCCCAACTCCTCCTCGCACTCCGGGGGGATGCGGGCTGCGAACGGACAGCGCTGAGGAACGGCCCGGGGCCGCCCGGCTCCCACGTGGTGCCGGCCTTCCGCGGAGGCAGCCGAGCCGCCCCTCCCGCACGTACCGGGACCGAGCGCCAGCTGCAGCTCCCGTGCGACGCCGGCGGCGCGTCCCGTCCCACCGGCCGGTAGCTCCAAGCGGGGGCCCAGCGCGGCGCCGGCCGCCTCCCAGCACAGCGGGCGGTACCGGGCGTGCAGAGCCTCGGCCGCCGCCGCGTGGGTCGCGTCCAACCAGCGCACCGCCTTGCAGGCTGAGCCCGGCCGCGGGGACGGAGCCGCGGGGCTCTCCGTGGGAACGCCGAGGGCAGGACGCCAAAGGCCGTCGGCAGAGGCCACCAACACCTCCAGCACGGGGCCCACGAGCCGCTCGTCCTCAAGGCACAGCGCCCGCAGCGCCTCGGGGAGGCTCCGCGCCGCCTCCAGCCCATCCTCCTCCTCCTCCGCCGCGACGAAGCCGCCGTCTCCGTGCCGCAGGAGCCGCGCGAGGCTCTCGGCCGCCCGCCGGCCCCTCTCTGCCGCCAGCAGGGCCAGCACCCGCCGCAGGGGGAAGGCGCAGGGCGGCATCCCCGCGGCCCGGTCGGCGCCGGCGGTCGAGCGAGCGGAGCCCGGCTCCGTATCCAGCTCCGCCAGCACGCGGTTGTAGATCTCCAGACCCTGGAAGAGGTCGGCGAGCTGCGCCGGGGGGGCCCCGTCCCGTGCCGCACCGCGCAGCGCGGCCTCCAAGCGCTCCTCCAGCAGCCGCGCCGCCTGCAGCGCCAGCAGCTCCAGCGCCCGCCGCATGTGAGCCACGGCCTCGCGCCGCCCCAGCAGCAGCGGCCGCAGCCACGCGTCGCCCCGCATCCGCCGCCGC